ATCTTTCAAAGTTGTTTTATTAGAGTCTGATTTATTATTACTAACGTTTTCGTTCGGATCAGCGTTCTGACATTGTGATCCGGATTCTGGTATATTGTGATGCGACGTAGTCACCAATAAAGGCAACACCGGGTGACAAGTAATATCGTTCACTCGAAATCGATGCCCCGAAGCTCTCGACGCGTGTCCAATGCTCAATACCTGTTCATCATCGACATACGTCGAGCGTAAATAAATAACGAACGAAAGGGAAGCAATCTCCTCCTTCTCAACGCAAATCATCATCGATTCGTACTTGCGAGAATTTTGTCTTGTCAGCAAACGTCAACTGCCATAAATTTAACGTGCCGTTCGAATGTTTCGACACCATCGAAACGATTGGACTCGGATGGGCCAGCAAATCCACCGTTTCTTGATTCGTTTTTCCACCTTCCGCCAACAACTGACCGTCTTTCTCTTTAGAGGCATTTTGATCCGTCGAACTTTCAATATTCTTCAACAGTTCCTGCCCTGTTTTCGACGTCAATGTCGACTGTTCTTCATCCTGTTCGATCAAACTCGGCAACGGTGTTGCAACATCACTAGCTGCAACGACAAGAATTTATTTCTTCGTCGTTTTTCTTTTTCTTTCGATTACCTTAATCACTTTACTACCTTACCTTTTAAAATTTATACCCAATACAATAAAAATACATTGTACAACAGAGAGAGAGAGAGAGAATTTACCTTCATTGGATGGCTTTGTGGATGATTTTGCCACTTCTCGTATATTCAACAATGGACCACCTGTATTGTGCGAATACATCGATACACTGTGACTCATTGTAGAAGCATCGCCCAAAGGAAATGCGTTGGGTATTCTGGTGGAAAATGATATTTGTGCTTGTCGAAATGATCCTGGATGATATTCGTCCAACCATTCGATGTGCCAAATTAAGAAACTCCCGTCTATTGGATGAATTGAAAAAAGTAAATCTGGATTGTGATGCCAATCACGCAATAACGTTTCTATCTTGGTATCTAACGAGTCCGGTGCGTGATTTATCGAAGACGTTACATCTGTCGCAATAGAATTAATGGACGTGGTATTACTGCGAAAAGAAAGAAGCAAAAGAAATTTCAAACACCGATTTCTTACCGATTCTTACTACGTAAATTTCTTTCTCTCGCACACAAGACGAGAGAAAGAAAGAAATCGTTGGAAAGAAATATTACATTACTACCTGAGACTTTGGTGAGAATGTGCGCTGTGTGGCAGGCTATGATGCGATGAAATTGTGTGTGTCGTATGATGTTCGTCACTGCTGTGATCTTCTTGGCTCGTCGACCGAACCGTGCCTCCCGACTTTTGTACTGCTTGTAATTTTACTCCCTTCTCTGTGTGTGAGATTATGCGTCAAATTGGTCAAATTATTATTACGTCAATGTATATACACGCATGTAGTACACGCGTTTAAATACCCATAAAACGTACTGGATAAACCTTCCTCTTCGTGATCCGTATCATGATCTGTATGATCCACGTCTTGTTGATGCAATCCTTCTTCCTTCTCCACGACTTTGCGAGTAAGCTCTTGTAAAATACTTTCCGCTTGCATCGTAAAGTGCATCTCTTTGTTATTTAACCAATGTAGAATAAAATTTGGTTCTCTTTCAGGATCTCCCGTGATTAAACTCGGTACTAACGGTATATCTGTGACAAACGAAAGCATGTCACGTAATAATAATAAGTGTCTAAAATGTTCATTCGTGTTTACAGACGCGACACACGTAGACTATCGTCCTACCAGTTTCGGCATTGATGCTGGCTGCCAAGTGAAAATGCATTCCTGGATAATGGCCTGTTCCCTGGTAATTATTGTGAAAATCGTGAACCGAATACGTCGAAGGCAAAGTTGGTAAAGTTGGTGCAGTGGTATGGCCTGCCTGATGCTGCTGTTTCGCATGTCGACGAATGTGGAAACAGGTTCTACAAAAGACACGCGTATCGTCGTATTATCAACTAATGATAATATATAAACACGGAAGAAGAAGAAGAAAGATCATTTCACGCACTTCATGTGTTTGAGCCGCTGCATGAATCGATGTTTATGCATGCTGTGATGTCGATGTTTCCCATGATGGCCGTGTCGGTCGGACCCTTCAAATTGGCTCATATTTGCCAAACCTTCAACTTCAGGAGGTATAGTTTCTGCCCATACTCGACAGATGTTGTCTCTACAGGATGTAACTAGCATGTTGGAAACAGATCCTCTAGACAAGAAGAAAAATGTTATCAATTTGAATGCAGGCATGTGAAAGATCATTTATTATTACGCGGTATTTTCACATTTCATACGCTGGTTTCTCACATACTTTGGCATGTATTTACTAGTCTTGCGCCAAGATAAATGCGTCACCGCACGAGGATGAGCAACGTAAACGAAACTATAACTGTCACTACCCATAGATTGGGTAACATTTACGTGATCCATGTTTCGCGTTGAAAACACTGAAACAATTTCAAATGAAAATTTATCAGAGAGATCGTTTGTTTGTTCCCAAGTGGCCATTCACGCAGCTGAAATGTCTCGTTGCAAGCGCGAGAGAACTTACACTGTTTATTCTCAAACCATATCTTCACTAATCTGTCGTTAAATCCCGTCGTCGCGAACAATGTGCCATCTGGACTGAAACTCATGAGATGCACTGGTGTAGCTGTACGACATTTCCAAACACAGTTCCATGCTCCTGGTTCGTTTCCACTACTCGAATCACCAGGCGCAGGACTTTCAGCATCTCCTCCGATTGAAAAGGTGACTGTACCAGCTGTACCAACAAAAAAAAAAAAAAAAAAATAATGTAATGCGTATATACACATATATATGCATGCATATAGAACAAAGGATTCGTTTTTAGGTGCAATTGTTTTTTCTGTATCAACGACGTATATCAAGGCATTAGAAGCGTAAAAGCGTTACGTTTAGAATTGCAGAAAACCAATTTCTTTCAATTACTGTATGCAAAACAAATTACAGGTTCTAATTCACGGTAAAATATTCACGACTGAATATTATTTGCCACGTGATAATTTCTGCGAGAATAACAAGCTTGTTGAAGTCAATTTCAAACACACTTTGCACTTTGTACTTCTTTAAAATGACTCACAGTCTCGAAGAACATTTGAAGTGTTTTCTTCGTGTCCAGTTGTTACAACACCTTCCTGAGTTCGTAACCTATTTATCTTCATCGCTGTTTTAACAATTTTATTATATCGTCGACAAAACAAGCAAGAGTAACGTCGCGTGTTCAGTCAAATAGAGAATTAAACAAAAGCGACGAGAAAGTGTGTAAAAAGAACAAAACTTACTGTGTTCTTCCTGAAACGGGGTTATATTTTGATGCCACAATTGTAAAAGCTCTCCGCCAGTTAATAATCTTGTTCCTTCCAAATTCCACGATAGGGAGCTAATATTCGATTCAGTCGTTAGACTACCAGTTTGAACCCATCGATATTCTAATTGCTGCACGTCATAAAAATGATTTATTCTATGAGAATTCTACGTTGAAACATGTAAGCGTGACTGTTGGCAAATAAGCGTTGAAAATGAAAAGACACATACGTGAGAACATGTACTGTGAATGAGCGGAGTAGGTTCGAAAATGCAAACTTGATTTTCATAGGCTGCAGCTATTTTCCCCGTGTCTGTGCTACAGTCCAAGCAACTGATTCTTATGTAGTTGTGCACAGCTCCTGGTATTATTTGAACTCGTTCAAAATTACTGGCAAGAATCACTATGTTACAACCTGCTGCGTATGCCTGCAACGCGCGAATATAAATATAATTTTATAACATACCGCGTCGTTGAGCAGAGTCTTAAAATATTCAATAGTAACGAATAGTAAGTAGTCTATCAACTATCTGTGTCAAACGACACAGAATTATCGTTACAAATAACACTTGAGACGAATATTCAAACGCTTGATCTTTAAAATAAAGATCGATAACCATTCGTAGCCAATCCAAAATTAAAACTGTGTAACAATCGATAACAACAATATACAAAATGTATGTCAAATCGCAGATTATAAAATTCGCAGTTTATAGACGATCTTTTTACGAACGTGACATTCCGAACGATTTAAACTACTCGTTTGTAATTGCAAATATACGTTAATAGGTAGACAAAATTACAGGTAACACGGTACACTGACTTACGGTAAAAGAAATCCCTTCGACAGAGCCTACAGCGTAGCACCGATCACCTGCATTGCAAGCACCACTTAATATTTGATGACAATTCATCTTTTCTATTCAAATATTAGATCATCCTTTATCAAAGTGATCAGTTGGCTATCGTCGAGTCTATTGACTCGAGTGGCTAATAATTTTCGATACTTTTTTCTATGCTACAACATCGAGACACTGTCCGAAAGTGACGTTACACCAGCCTCGATTGGCAGCCATCTTTAAATGGATTTTCTCGACACGACACGTGACACGACACGACGTCGTTACTCGTGCCATCTGGTGTCATAAAATTGTAAGTATGAGAATTTAAAACGTTCGATTCTTCACAGTTACGTACGTAGACGCAAGTGCGTGGTAAAATATTCATTTAAATGTCAATGTTAGAAATCGCAAATATCACCGATTACTCGAATATTTATTTTACTCCTTAGCTTTTACAGAAATTGAAAGTATCGTACGTCATATCGCATAAATGCACACGCAAGTGTAACTCGATCGACCAAGTTTACATTTTTGAAATATTTTGTTGTTTGGGTATTTATAGTACACAATTTAGATTAGACACTGCATATAATTCGATCAATGTTATTACATTTTTGAATTCAGATGATATATATATGTATATATATATATATATATATTTTTTTTTTTTTTTAAATTAGAAATCGATCAATCGATTGCGTTTCAAAGATGAGAAAGAAATGAGAAGGAAATAGCTTTTATTCAGAGAGCTGACAAAGCAGTGCGACTCCTCTCATAATCCAATGTTCTGGCGATTTTAATGTAGGTAAGGTCATGGCGATAACAAAATTCGTCGAATGTCCAGTGGTTGATAAAACTCCTCGTCTTTCGCTAGTTTTATACACGGGACATTCGTACGTTGCTCTTTCTTTTAAATCTTCTTTTTTCACGGGTAACAACCACATCTGAAACAACAACGAACCAGAGAAGACAGTAAGAGGAGGAGGAACACCAAGTGAGAAAGATGATATACATAGATAGATGGACGCAATACTTGCAGGAAGCATAGGTTCGTAAAGTACTTTTGGCAAACTTTCGTCTAAAACCATTCGTTCCTTGTCAAATCTAGCCCCGTCTAAGAACAATCCGTGTATATAAACTCCATCCTCGGGAGCATGTCGCACGTACATTGTTGTATCGGGATCTAACACGAAGAAGTCGAAAATTAAAAGGTCTATGGGAATTTGATATTTTCTCGCATAATTTTGCCTGGTCCCCGTGAGGAATGCTTGAGTAAAGTAGAAGCCCGAGATCCAATAAATGTTCGGTGCTCCCTTCTCGTACCATTCCTACAAGAATAAAAATGAAAAGAGTTTACCGAATCACATTCAGTTTGGAGATTTCGTTTAACGTATCTACGTTTATATCGCGGGCGCAACCGCCGTCCAAACAAGCAGATCAAATTCGACAAGGAAATTCGATGAGACTCGATCGAGATTTGTTGAATTTTCGTTTGATCAAAAGGTTATTTTCAAGTTCTTGGAAATACATTGATAATCCTCCGTCTAGCACGCGCAAATTATCCACGACACAACAGTTTACTCTATGTCGCATTTTGAAAGATTTAAAAATTTATCAAAGATGTTGCACACACACACACAC